TGGTTGGTGGAATGGTGAAGTAGATAACAAGGAAATGGAACCGGCTAGAATAGAAATGCTAAGGATAAAAAAAATGAGACCGGCATGCTGGAAATGTTTGTACTTGGAGCTTGTGCTAGGAGGTTCCATGGCTGCATGGTAGATTTTGAGATGGAGGAAGGCTATTTCGGTCTTTTAACAACTTGTTCGCCGTTCCACTTAAGCTCTCATTCGTAAACTAACTCCAAGATTTCACCCTAAATGAAATGTGATAGCCTACTAACATACTTGTCTCGCAAAAAAGAAAAAAACTATCGAGATTCAACGTCCTAAGCGTAATTATAAAAAGTTTTGACTTAAAACGATTTCGTCTTAGTTCTAGGTTCCCGTTAACACCTAACATTATTAACACTTACAATTAGCTATTGAAATTGAAAGAATTAAATTTAAAGTAATATAACACTCTACGTCAAGAGATATTAACTTAACTTGGCAACAATTCAAATAATCTAATATTTTGCACAATTAACTTATTTGCGACTTTAAACTTCTTTTTACATACTTATCTAAGAATTAACAATAATAGCATTTATTCAAAGTCTAAAATGTACAAGCAACAAGTATAAATATATGTGAGTATATATTTATTTACTATTATTTTTTTTCCAAGGTTCTCACAAACGAGACCGTTCAATGCGATCTAAAATGTTCCAGAACGTACAAGTGCATTTAAACAAGTCAACATCACCAAATAAAAAAATGAAAATCAGAGCCGAACATGAATAGTGCCTGACACGTCAGAATCCGGCCGGAATCTGGCCGGATACTGGCCAGAGAGCGAAAGTTCAAAATCACAAATTTCTCTCGCAATCCGGCCGACAACCCAGCCAAGATCCGACCGAATTGTTGGCTGGATTCCGGCCAGAGAGCAACTGGTCGGATTTCCAATTTTTCTCAGGGCAATCCGGCCGCAAATCTGGCCAGTTTTTGCCAGATTCGACCCTGTCTTTTCCCGCCAAAATTTTTTCCTTTGCCGTTTGAAATCCGAATCTGCCCAAAAACCCTTTAAACATCAACAAGGCATATAACCAAGAAATCACATAACTGCAAGCCCAAATAACACACCAAACACATTATACATGTACGATTCCAATTTTATAAATCGAAAGCAAGGTAGGATCTATCCAACTAGGGTTTGTACATTGAAAAGCTACTCAAAAGCATATATACATTTAGTTCAACTTGGTAACCACGTATCAAGGCCTTCCAAAAGGTTCAATCCCTGTAAGGAAAACAAAAGGAATAGGATGAGCTATCGCCCAATGAGGTACTTTTACTCAAGCATAGAGATTCAATTAAGCATCACTTCATTCATTCCAAGTTTATCCAACAAGGAAGCTAAGTGAGGCCACATATCACCACAAGTGGTAAAAGGATACGGGCGGCTCTCAAAAGCCCCTTTCCTCACTTGCCATACTTGATCGCATCTCATTGACCCTCTGTCAATGTTCAAAGTGTAACCGAACATAGACTCCACTTTACTCCCTTTCCTTCCACCACACATACCCCAACCGGGCCCGAACTCTAAACAGTTTAGATTTGGTAATACTCGAGTATACTGGAATCGAGAGTCTCATACCCCACGATTCCACATAACAGTCCCCATGGTGCGTCAATTTTCACGACCAAGCCCTTGCCAGCTCGATTCAATCGACCACCAATGGGGTTGAGCTCAGTGATCACAGTAATGGCCATTGGATACTCGTCCAAATGACACCAATTCAAGTATATTCAAGTCTCATTCCAGTTACACAGTAAACAGTCATATAAGATATAACGGGTGAGAGTGATCAAGTGTACCCTCGTCTCCATCAATGTCAACAATGCAATTAGACAATCAAATCATCGATTTCAAGTATAACAAAGCCACATAGTAACAATCAAGTGAGTAGTACACTCACCAAGCAAGAAAAGATAATTTTCACACTTGTTCACCCGACGAGCGTCTCGGACCACCGTCACGCCCTAAAACATTCAAATAAGTACAATGAGACTCCATTACGAGTCATGAATCAAAGCTACAAGTCATTAATGCAAACCAAGGAAACTTGCAAATAAAATAAGAAACACTTGGCACTAAGGGTTTAAGTAACCCTAAGGTCTCTTGTTATCCTTAAAACAACCCAAGCCCAATCTCACACAAGAACTTCCAATTGGACGGCATTTCCCCTTAATATTCTAAGTTCCAACTTACACACCTTCACCCTTACTTTGCAAATACAATCACCAAAACCATTTCAAGTTTCAAACCTCTCAATACATCTTATTAGAGTCATAAAACCCTTTATAACTAACTAACATTGAGTACTTAAACATAAAAATATATTTCAAGACTAATGTACAAGTCTCCAATTTTCCAAACTTATTGTATTCTCGAATCGATTATTGTCTCCAAACACGCATCCACTATTCACTCTAAACGAGCTTTCAGAAATAAATTTTCAAATCAAGGCACATTTGAAATACTTGTAGGTCATAGTTCCATGTAATTGAGTATAAAGAGGTTGGAATAAAATATTCAGAGAAAACGGGTGAGTAAATAATCAATTAAACTAGTAAAATAAAATAAAGTAAGAAAAATTCGGGTCCTCACACAGTTTGTTGAGTTTCCTAGTCAAAAAAGTCTAAATATAGTCGAAAAAATTTCTGTCAAAAGCTGAAATAGAGTATTGACCAGTTAAGGGTATTTTGGTCATTTATTAGCCTATAGAGATTCAAATGAGACGATTCTTAATGCATTGGAAATCTAACTCAAAAATATAAAATTTTTATGTTTTGTGAAAGAGCTAATTTGACTTCCATCATCAAGAAAATTGTAGTTATAGTTGGATAAAAAATGGAACAAAGTTGAGTTTTAAACTGAATGTGCAAATCATTCCAGTTTCAAAGAAGATCCATGAGGCTATCAGCGAGATAGCAGGTCACAGATCCCTGAATCGAAGTTGCAACTTGTTCTGCAACTAGCATTCTATTGACACCAACCTTTTGACCAATTTGTCCGCAATAATTCCGGTTGGAACCGATTAAATTTGAGTTGGAGAAGTGGTAAACAACTTTGTGACTCCTTTATGAAAACATCTTTTCATCCCAAAACATCTATAAATACCTCTTGTATCTCATTCATTTGAGAATCAGGTAATACTTTGTAGTATCTTGAAGCACCTTATAGAGTAGAGTAGAAGTAGAGATAGGAGTAGTTTTAACTCTACTTTCATATTGTAAGTTTCTTTCTTAGTTTAAAGAGGTTTGAGAGGGAGGTGAAAATATTGTTGTACCAAACTAATTTGAGAGATCAACTTGTGAAAGAATTCAAGAATTAAAGCTTCAAGACATTGAATAAGAATTGTTCTTCCCAAACTTTGTCTCTTGTTCTCATTTGCCATGCTTTATTACAAGTTTATTTCATACTTAGATGTTCTTAATATGATGTCCAACTAAACATTTTCATATTCTAGGGTGAAGATGGACTTGTTATAGTGAAATAGTTAGGGGATGATTATGCTTTTTCAAGACTTGTTAGTTTGAGAACTTGTGCTTATGTTTTATAGTTCTTTGACCATCAGCTATGCATGATTTGATAAGTGTTGAGTATTGAAAGTTGCCTTCAATAGATCTAAATTCTTAAATATTAACCTTATTCTCACAAAAGTAATGAATAATGGTTAGTCGGGTTTATACAATAATTTCATTGAATTTATTTAACTTGTTTCTTACCTTTTTCTCTATGAACGTAGGTGAAGAATGATTCAAGGAGTTAAAAAAAATTGATGAAAGCAATTTCTAGAGGAATTAGCCAAAGTGGTTTCTCTTAAGAATGTCCATTGGCGAAAGCAAAGACATCCATTTGAAAGTTATTCTTTGACAATTCATGGAAACATAAGCATAATCACCTTAACTATTTTCTAATCTTGACATAACAAGCGATTCTAATCCCTAGGGTCCTTTGACTTAATCTTTAAGCAATTCTAATCTAACTTGTCTACTTTCATTTAGTTTCTTGAACCATACCACCTAGATGGTTGGTTTTACTACCTAATTACTGATTTTATATTTATTACTTTTGCTATATGACCGGTTGTGCTATCTAAACTAATATCTTTCATGGCCGGTTTTACCACCTAATTAACTTTCTTTGTTTTACCTCCTTAAAACTTTGATTGTCTAGATAATAAAGCAAGTGATTAAACTCAAGTAATTGTCAATTTCTAAGTCCCTGTAGGATCGACACCAATTATCCCTATACTCAATAAACGAACCGTGCACTTGCAAAAATAGGCTAATAAGGTTTTAAAATTTGTAGTGTAGTAAAAGACCCTATCAAGCTTTTGACGCCATTGCTGGGGATTTAGATTTAGGTGCAACACTAGAGTTAAAACAAGTTTTATTAATTTAGACTTTGTTACTTTATCTTTATTTAGCTAATCTTATATTTACTATCTTTAGATGTGATCTTTGTTATTTTTAGGTACTAAATTCTTCACCAAAGGCACAATTTACCTTCAAGAAGTAAACACGGCGAGAATAGGAAGAAGATGCACCCAACAAGTGCAAATTGAGGTGAAAAGTATAGGTGAAATATCCGTTGAAATGGAGGAGCTCAAAACCTTTGAGGGATTATACCTTGTCAAATGAATCGAGAGCACAAACTAGCATTGCAAGACCTGCAATTAATGCAAACAATTTTGAAATCAAACCCTCACTCATCCAAATGATTCAACAAAGTCAATTTGGAGGAAATGAAATGAAGGATCCTAACACTGATCTAGTTAACTTCATAGGTTTATGTGGTCCAATCAAAATAAATGGAGTAAGTGATGATGCAATTAAGTTAAGGTAATTTTTTTTCACTTTGTGATAAAGCGAAGGTATGGCTTAATTCTTATCCACCTAATACTTTCACTTTTTGGGGTGAGCTCTCAAAAGCATTTTTGAATAAATATTTTCCACCTGAAAAAATGGCTAAATTTCGTATAGATATCATAGGTTTTATTCAACATGAAGAAGAGTCGTTATATGAAACTTGGGAGAGATTTAAAGATCTTCGAAGAAGATGTCCCCACCATGGTCTGTCTGATTGGTTAGTTGTTCAAACATTCTATAATGGATTCAACTACCCAACCAAAATCAACATAAATGCCGCCACCAATGGAGATTTAATGGGAAAATCAACGGAGAATGCTCAAACTTTGATAAAGGAAATGACCTCTAACAACTATCAATGGGCAAATAAAAAAGATAACTCAAGAAGAATAGCTGGTATGTGTGAAATCGACACTCTCAACTTTTAAGTGCTAAATTAGAAAACATGTTTAATTCTCGTATGGATAATGTTGAGAGGTTGCTACGTAAACAAGGGGGAAGTAGTTCAAATTCTCATGTAAGTGTTGTTTATTATTCAATATGTGGTGGTAATCATGATAGTTCTAATTGTTTTCATATGGAGCAAGTTCATAATGTTAACAACTACAATCGTCCACCTTAAAATAAATCTTTCTCAAACACTTACAACCCTGGTTGGAAGAATCATCCTAATTTAGTGTGGAGATAAAAATCAAATGCATAAAAACCTATCAATCCACCTAATTTTTAAACAGGACGACTTGAGTCACGTTTTTTAACTTTAGAGGCCAATTATGAGAAACATGTTCATGAAACAAAAGAAAGATTCGATGATGTTAAAATGAACATGAATAATATGATGATTATGATTAGGGATATGCAAGGCCAATTAGACAATATTGCTAATTCCATTAATTTGAGGCAATTGGATGAATTTTCAAGTAAAATCGAAATGAACCTAGAGAACATATGAATGAAATCACTCTTAGGAGTGGTAAACAATTAGAGGATAATCACCTTGATAAAAATGAAAAAAAATTATGAAAATGGGGGTAAAAATAAACAAGAAGGTAAAAAGGATCATGTTTTAAATGAGTTTGATATGCTTTCTTCTCATATTTCTCATAATAATGCCACTAACTTCGTTCTTTTCCTGATAGGCTGAACCAAAATAATAAGGAAAAGGAATTTGAGAAATTTGCTCAAATGTTTAAGCAAATTAAAATTAATATTCCTTCTATTGATGCTATCTTACAAATTCCCTCTTATACTCATTTTTTGAAGGATATTTTGTCAAAAAAGAGGAAAATTGAAGATCATGAGACAATAGCATTAACAGAGAAATATTCAACATGTGCTCAAAACAAACATCCAACTAAGCTTAAAGATCCGAGGAGTTTCACTGTACCTTGTACCATTGGACATTTGAATTTCACTAATGCTATATGTGATTTAAATGCAAGTGTATCATTGATGCCACTTTCCATTGCAAGAAAACTTGATTTGAGAGAGATGAAGGATACAAATGTTACTCTTCAATTGGCGGATAGGTTCATAAAGCGTCCAGTTGGCATTATCGAAAATGTCATCATTAAGGTGAAATCACTCTTTATACCGGTTGATTTTATTGCGTTCGATATGAAAGAAGACGTGCATTTACCTATTATTTTAGGTAGACCTTCTTAACCACCAACTTTAATTGATGTTCATGGAGGTAAGTTGACCTTTAAAATTAATGGTGACGAATTAACATTCAATCTTAATGAAAGTAAGGATCTTAATTTATGGCATGAAAAAGGTTTTAAACCTAAAGAGGTTAATATTATACAAGAGTTGTATAAAGAAGGTTATTATGTTGAAACTCTTGATTCTCATACTTATAACATGCATAATATGAAGAATAAAGGAAAAGAGATCCTTACTCCTAAAATTCAGGTGGATAAAGGCAAGAAATCAAGTAGACTTCAGGATTATTTAAAATGTTTCTCAAGAAATCCCCATACATGTTGTAATTATGATAAGTCTTCTTTATTTGATGATTAGGATGATTTGGAGATAGGGTAAGCACAAAATATGGTGAATGGAAAGAGAAGATTTAGCCCTTGGGAAGGAATTAGTTCCTTTTCCCTCCAAAGTGAAGTGCAAGAGTAAACATTTTTGAGTCAAAGCAATGGCTATAAACAAAAGCATTAATTAGAAGGCAACCCAATGTTTTAAATCATTTATTTTATTTTAGTGTGTTTTCATGTTTATTAGATACATTAACCTGTGTTTGTTATGTTTCTTTTGTAGGTTTCAAAAGTTGATACAAAAGTCACTTTTTGAAGGTTGGCGAGGAATAAGAAACATGAAAAACTCAACCCATCATTTTGCATTTTAGATGTTTTTTATTCGTTATGAAGGATTAGATTGCATGTTTAGATCATTTGAAACTTGTTTGAGGCATTACACTTCACAAAAAAATGATCAGAATCATGTTTCTATAGAAGTATGAATGGAATAGTGAAAAAATGCAATTTTCTACACTTTGATTGTAGAAATCTAGAGATCCGTGAAGTGATCCACGAGGCTACCTCGTGGATCCCTGATACTTGCAGATCATGAGGGATTTTACAAAAAGAAAATTCATGTTTTAACTTTTGTTCTTCTTTTCTCCTTTCCTTTCTTAACCACACTCCAAGTTTGTGTCTTTTGCATCATTCGAATATTAACTAGTTAGTTTGCTATTTTTGCATTATACATTTCTATCACTAATGGTTGTATGGAACTTTTGGACTCTTTGACTTTCATTTATGTAGGGAATGGTTGCAATTCAAGAATGATGAAGTCATAGAAGGTTGCAAGAAAAAGGCTAAGTCACTATAGAGGGAGTATTTCTTTTACTCTTACTTTTTCTTTTCACACATTGAGAACAATATGCATGTTCAGTGTGGGAGGAGGTTCATTACCTTCTTAATTGTGGAAAATGGTTCAAATTTTTTGAAATTTTGTCAATTTTCAAAGAAGTTTCATAATCATTAGTAGTCAAATTCTCCATTTGAAGTACAATTGATGTGTTTTATGTGACGACCCCACATCTCCCAAGGGTGAACTCTAGGGTATCGGTGGGCCGCCTGCCTAGCTCGCGCCAGGACTCAAAACTTAAAGCAATAAAACTAGATAAATCGCAAGAGCACTATATACAGTATATACAATCCCAAAAGTTATATTTACATCTTCAAAAGTCTCGAGTCAAACCACTCTAATATACTATAACCACAACGAGCAGAAGATAGACCCTAAGGAAGGTCCTTATACAAACCACCAAAACAAAAACAAACATACTATATGTCCAACTATTACAAGCCAATCTAACTATACTAGTGTATGTACCAAAAGTTCCCCGCGTCGGTCCCTGCTAAGGAAAACAAAAAGAAAGGGGTAAGCTATATGCTTAGTAAGTAAATAGGGGCAAAAGCGTAAATTTCACGTAACAACAGTTACACAGTAAGAGTAAAGCAAAAGCAGAAAAATGATATCACATAATAAGGGTACAGGTGGCTCCAAAGCCAATTCATGTGCCATGTATGATCTCCTGCCGACACTCCGTCGACCACAATTAATGGTCCGTAGAACTTCACTTGTACTCCCACCGTACACCTTATCACCCTCTCTGGCCAGACACCTCACAAACTTGCTCGAGCGAACGAAATTGAACTTGGTTTACAAGCTCGGGTCACAAACTTGGTCCACATAATCGGTGAACCGGATTCACAAACTTGGTGACCACAACCAGGTTGGACTGACTTCGACCAAGCCCTAACCGGCTCGAATAGTCCATCTAGGTCATGAGATCGGGCCCCAAACTCACAAACTTCATAAAATTTATTCAGAAGTCACCCCGAGCCACAAGCTCAAGGAGTTTAGTTCCAAAATGATTTATATACATATGTCATGTACAAACGTGTGCGCAAACTACGGTTTAGATCAAGTGCGATAAAGTACACCCTCGCCTAGGTACCCTTTTCATACAAATCGAAACACATAAACAACTAACACGTAAGAGCGGCCTGAATACTTACTCAATGAACAAAAGGGCAAAAGTTCGAAATTCGTGTCGCAGCTAGTAGGCCCCACCGGCTCCACCTAGCTCACCGACGTCTGAAATAGAAGATTGTGTCACAATATATCACAAACGGCCACTAACGTACTTAAAACAAGCAATACGGCAAAATCGGCACATACGAGTGCGGAAACGGCACACGGAAACGGGAATGGCGGCCTAGCCATTTTGCCGTCAAAACTGTTTTGAGCCTAATCGAAGCTATGAGTGTCGGATCAAGGTACATGAGGTACTGTTACGAAGATAAGAGAAAATTCTATAACTTTCATGAAGACCCCTAACTCCGGATCGGAACAGAGATGGGTCGAAAGTGCAGAAAACCGTTCCAGGAATTCGCACTCCAATGTAACGGACAGGGTATGTTTGCTGGACTATAACTCCCAACTCGCAAATCCAAATCAAGAAATTCCAAAGGCATTAGAAAGCTGAGACATAAGGCTAAAACTTTGATGTTTTGGCCAAGACCTGAATCCACTCAGAACAGAATGAAAGTTGAGTGTCAAAGTACCCGTCAGAACTGTCCGGATTCAAGGCAGTTCTGACGATTGATCTTGTTTTGGTCATAACCGGAGCTATGAAACTCGGATTTCAACGTACTTTATACCGTTTTGAAGCTAAAACCAAGATATACATTTAGTATGAAGGAGTCGACACCCAGATCGTATGGGATCAAAACGGAAAATGCACGGTCAGAGGCTAAACTGAAAAAAACGCACAGAATCTGGTGTGCAAAACAGGCTTGAGAATTTCATCTATAACTCCGGGTACGCTAATCCGATTGACCTGAAATTTTACAGGAATATTCAGGACCTACCAGGCTACAACTTTCATGTTTTGAGGAACTTATGAATCTGTGACAGCCCCACCTTCCCCTAAGGCGAACCAAAGGGGTTAGCGGACTGCCTGCCCAGCTCTCGCCAGGACTAACGGTACGGTTTACGTCAATCTAAAACGTTCCGGAACATACCATTGCGCGCAAACAAGTCAAAAACAAAAAATAAAAAAACGAAAAAACCGGAAGCCGAAATTTATCTAAACCATAGCCAAGCATATATATACAATGGAAATCAACATTTACAACCATAATGGCATGCCAAAACCATTCATTAAGGAGTACACATTCGATT